TCGCACATCTTCGAGGGACGAGGGCGACGAGGACGAGGACGTCGAGGACGACGAGGACGACGAGGACGACGAGGACGACGAGGATGACGAAGACGAGGAGGACGAGGAGGTCGAGGAGGACGAGGACGGCGAGGACGAGGACGAAGAGGTCGACGAGAACGACGAGGTGAAGGCGGGAATGCGCACGTCGACGCCTTCGCCGGTCGCAGGCTGTCGGGTTCGAGGTTCGAGGTGTTCCAGATCGTCCCGAATGGCCGTCGGAGAGCCGAGTTACGACCCGAGAACCTTAGATGGAGTGGCCGACTGACTGATCCACAAAAGGGTCGAACATCTTTGTAAGGGCCCGCTGTTAAAACGATGCTGGCAATAGTGGACGACAATGACGAACTGCGGTCATGGCGGCGATGTCGACATGGACGCCGGCGCGCGTGGATAGTAGTAGTGATGACGGCGGCAATGATATGGAGTGCGGCTGACGACGCTGACGATAGCAATGATTTCACAGAGGAGGAGGGAGCGCGGGGCAGTCTGCCCGAGGAGGGGGGCCAAGCCAGCGAGCTCACAAGCGAGCTCACCAGCCTGGGGCAGGCAAGTTCCGGGAAGGCAGCAGCTCCGATCTTGTTACGACTGTAAGGACTGCCAAGCTTTCAGCGGTGCAGTTGGATACATCATGCTCATGATCATCATCATGATCATCCTCCTCCTCGTCGTCGTTGGTCAGCGTCATCGTCGCCGTCATCATCAGCAGCATCCTCATCCTCGTCCTCATCATCATCCTCATCCTCATCCACATCCTGGTCATCCTCCTCATCATTATCATTATCATCATCGTCGTCATCATCATCATCACCCTCATCATCATCATAATCATCATCATAATCAACGTCGTGTCGTCGTCGCCATCGTCATCGTCACCATCATCATCATCATCATCATCATCATCATCACCATCATCATCATAATCACCATGATCATCATCAACATCATCGTCAACGTCGTAGTCGCCATCTTCATCGTCACCATCATCGTGATCATCATCATCAGCATCATCATCATCAACATCCTCCTCGTCGTCATCACCATCAACATCATCAGCATCAGCATCAGCATCATCATGATCACCATCACCATCACCACCACCACCACCATCACCATCACCATCACCATCACCATCACCATCATTATCATCATCATCATCATCATCATCATCATCATCATCATCATCATCATCATCATCATCATCACCCCAACATTGGGAAGAGCGTGTGCTGGCTCTGGGTCGTTGCCATACCGACCAGGTGGCTCAACTAGATTTCGGAACAGCGAGAGAGCATGGACACGCGCGACCGCGAGCTGCGGGCCCTGTCGGGGTAGTCCCCGTGCGGCGCCTAACCGTGTCTTGCTTGCCTGTTGCCTCCTCAGCAGAACGTGCGCCGCAACAAGGAGGTATGCGGGAGGGGGAGGATTCCAGGCTGGCCTCGAGCGCACCCAGAAATGGGGCGCGAGGTCCTGGCAGAGAGAAAAAAACGGCAGCAGCCGGCGCGGCTGCGACGGCGACGGGCCACGGCGAGGACGACACACGAACGAGGGCAGCGAAGACGGCCGACAACGGCGGCAGTAACCTCTCACTTAGCGCGGAGGGAGGAGGATGAAGGAGGCAGGACAAAGGAAGAAGGATGGAGGAGGAGTGTGAGACTGGTCTGGGGATTCTCCAAGCCCATCCTTGGAAACAAACGCCCAGAACCCTACCCGCCCCCCTACCACACACCGTGTTGAGGGCGTCGTGGGGCTCATCGTTTGTACAAGTGTAAACGCCATTATTGCTCGTGATACGCCCGCTCTACTTATATATTAATATACCCCATCGCCACGTTATGTTTCCGTTCCTCGGCGTTACACGTAGCCGATCTTGTGGCCGAGGAAAAGCTGCCTGTGTGTACAGCGCTCATCGTTCCTTACGACGGTTCTTCACCAAGCTGATTCCAAAACGAGCCCAGATGACTCCAAAAGGCCCCGAAGATGGTCGAAGAGGGCCCCAGGTCGCCCCAAGATCGCTCCAACACGCACAAGATGGCCTCAAGATGGCCCAATAGGCCTCCAGGACGCCACAAGAGGCCTCCAAGAGGCTTCCCCAGAGGGCCCAAGAGGCAAAAAGCAATTATTGCCCTATGGTTCTCACAGGATTTTGGCGTTCTCGCCAATTCGGCTTTCCGACGCTCCAAGACGGCCGAAGAAGCTCATAAGACCACCCCAAGACGGCCAAAGAGGCCTCCAAGAAGACCCCAAGACGGCCTAAGAGCGCCCCCAGACACAGACAGCCCGAGAGGCGCCCAAGACGGCCTTAGAGGTCCCCAAGACGGCCCCAAAGGGACCCAAGAGAGGGGACGCGAACCGAAAATCCGAGCATTCCGCCCCAGGAGGTCCCCAAGAGGAAGAGGCCCCAAAGAGACCTCAAGGGGCTCCAAGAGGTCCCCAAGAGGCCCCAAGAGGCCCCAAGAGGCCCCCAAGAGGTCCCAAAACGGCCCCCAAGAGGCATCAAAACTGCTTCCAAGAGGCCCCCGAGAGCCACCCCACGAGATTCCCCCCCAAAAAAACTTGATATCCATGACCCAGGCACGGTGGCGGGATGGGCCGAAGGCCATTAGGCATCCGCCGCCCCCTGCTTGCAGGGGTGCACGGCGTGCTGGACGAGCTGTTAGGTTTTGGTTTTGGTTCTTTTTCCAAAAGAACTCCCCAGTGGGCTCCGGCAGAACCCGCCACCGTGCGCAAAAACGGCCGTTTCGCTCGGGACATCCTCAAAAAATCGCGAAGATGGCCCAAGATGGCCTCCAAGTCCGCCCGAGATGGTCCAAGACGGCCTCCAAAACGGCCCAAGAGAGTCCAAGACGGCCCAAGACGGCCCAAGAGGCCCCCCAGAGGCCTCCCAGACGGCCCAAGAGGCCTCCAAGAGGTCCTCCAGGAGAGTCCGAAGAGGCAAAATCATTGATTTTCCCTTGGTTTTTGAAGGATTTTGGCATTTGCGCCTTTTCGGCTCTCCGACGGCTCAAGACGGCCCAAGAAGCCCCCAAGATCGCCCAAGAGGCCCCCAAGAGAGCCCCCTGATGGCCCAAGTGGCCTCCAAGATGGCCCCTAGAGGGCCCCAAGACGGCCCAAGAGGCCTCCAACACGCCCAAGATGGCCTCCAAGACGCCCAAGATGGCCTCCAAGACGGCCCTGGAGCGCCCCAAGAGGGTCCCCCGTTGGCCCAGACAGGCCCCCAAAACGGCTCCCGACGGCGTCAGACGTGCCAGGAACCCACCAAGATGGCCGAAGTTGGCTCGAAGCTGGCCCAAAAGGGCCCAAGAGGCCCCCAAGAGGGCCTCCAGGAAGGCCAAAAGATGCCAAAATCACTGATGTTCCCAAGGTTTTTGATGGATTTGGGCATTTCCCTTCTTTCGGCCTTCCGACGGCCCGAGACGGCCCAAGAGCCCCCAAAGATCGCCGAAAGATCGCCCAAGAGGCCTCCAAGACGACGACGATGACCATCAAGACGCCCACGTGTTCCCCGAAGGCTTTCCAAACCGATTCGGGGAACACATGGTCCGATGGCTTGGCAGGTCTGGCCTCAACGTTCGGCCACATAGGCGCTTCCACAAAGGCAGGGGGCGGCGGTGATTCGCCGTAGGCGTCTTCGATAAAACTGAGGAGAGGTCATCCAAGCGTGAAAAGTACACAAACGCATGAACGCACAGAAAGTCAAACAGAACTGTGAACACCGATGTGAAAACTGTGGAAGCCTCTGGAGGCTCGGAGGCTGCCCATACGTGCATCTCGATCCTCGAGCCTCGAGGAAACATAAATAATCGAATCCGCTGACCTCTTGGTTGTCCCTCCCCTCGGTTCCTCCCGGGGCGGGGGAGCGCGAGGACCTCAGTCGCCCGAGCAGCGACAACCCCGCCCGCCGATCGAAGCTCGAGGGACCAGTCGAGGAGGAAGAGGAGCTACGTATTCATCAGGGCTCAGGGTTTGGGGTTGGGTTTAGGGTCTAGGGCTTCGGGTCAAACAGGACGACCATGCGCCAACATATTTGTGATACCATACAAGTACGCTGCCGTGGTGCTCACATCCCACCCACCCTAGAATAAAGACGGAGCCAGGACGAGGACACATCCGGACAAATCGAGCATCTCTGGGATCCCGCGTCTCTGGATCATGTCTCGGGCGCAGCGGCCTTCTCCGAGCGTTTCGGAACGCTCCACGCTCTGGAACGAATGTACTATCGTCCTGGCCCCGCCCGAGGATTTGTTGTTCTTGTCTTGTTCTGGCTCTTGCGGGGCCCCTTCACTCTTGGGCGCCCTCGGGGGCGTCTGCGAGCGCCTCAGAACGCACCCGCGCGGGCGGGATGCGCACCGCTCTCGGAACACCCAAAAAAAAGGACCGGTGGGAGTTTAAGAATTAACTTCGCCTGACGATGCGCCAAGCGCCACATGTTCCATGTAGAGCCGTGGGGGTCTACGAATTAGCATCCGAAAGCAGCATGGGCGGGATGTCCACTGCACCAACAATTTTAATGAAAGATCGTGCTGGTTTCGGAATTAGCTTCACATGGCGATGTGCACCGCACCACATTTTGAATGACGGACCGTGAGGGGCTTTGGAGTTGTAGCGGGCTGCGAAGGACGCCTCGAGAGACTCTTCTGCTCAGCACCTTAGCTAGTATGTACTTCAGGGCCGATGGGCAGCAAGTGGTCCCCTATGGGCCCTAGGGGACCACTTGCTGCCGATCGGCCCTGGGCGGTCCTCGGCGGTCTCTGGACAGTCTTCGGCGGTTGCCGGCGGTCCTCGGCGGAGTGTCTGGCGGTCTTCGGACGGCTGCGTCCACCGAGGCTATAGTCACGACCGAACGCTTGAAAAGGAGGTCCCCCGAGGCCGCCGGCATCACCACAGCTGCCCAAGCAGGCGCCGCGATCCCAGAGCCGAGGAGAGACAGGGGGAGCCGGGGAGGAGGGGGCCAGCCGCCCTTTCCTGCAGCGCGGAGCAGTTTCAGCCGTGCCGCAGGTGTCGCTTCGGGGGCCGTCGGCTGGCCATCGGCGCCGCGCACGAGGAGGCAGTAATTAGAGGGAGATGGGGAAAGGCTCCTTGGAAGGGGGCTGCTTCTCAGAAGGCGCCGGCCCTACATCTGTAGATGTGAAGGCCCCACATCTGTAGATGTGAAGGCGCCGGCCCTCCCTTTTCGCACCCAAAATGGGTACGGAGCAAAATGGGCTCAATGCCCAGCAACGAGCGTTGTCCAAAACCGGCAGCGGCCGCTGCTGGGCAGGCGGCTTCCTGTCTTCGGTGAGCAGCGTCCGCGGCGGCGCGGACAGCGAGTCCTGTTCAGAATGCACAGAAACTGCTGTCGGTCTTGATGCCCCTTCTTCCCGCACCAGTTGTGATCGTCCCGACACTCCACCCACCCCCCAGCTGCGCGTGGCGGAGGCCCACTCACCGATGCCAGCTGACCCGAGCCTATTTGGCGGCGCGCACAAGGGGGCGCGGGGAGGGGGGAGGGCTCCTTAGAAGGAGGCTGCTCCTTAGCAGGCGCCCGCCCTACATCTGTAGATAAGGCCCGCGCCTTCTAAGAAGCAAGGGTGTTTCGGAGAACCCCCCCCCTTTGGACGCCCAACATGGGTACGGGAAAAAACTGGTACAATCTCCAACAAAGGAGGGCGAGGATGAGGGAGGAGCAGGAGGGCGGAGGAAGAAGAGGAGGGCGGAGGAAGAGGACGAGGAAGAGGACGGAGGAGGAGGACGAGGAGGAGGGACGAAGAGGGACGAGGAGGGAGGAGGGGGAGCAGGAAGGAGGAGGAGGAGGAGGAGGAGGAGGAGGAGGGAGGCGAGGCGGAGAACGCGAGGAATCTATCAGGAGCCAGGAGGAGTGGAGTGGTGAGGAGGAGCCTGGGCAGCGACCCCCCCCCCCCCTCCCCCCCCGCGGAGGCCCCCCCCCCCCCCTCTGCGCGCGGCCGACCCGTGCGGGCCCGGGATCGGGGGCCCGCCTGCGCCCACCCCTGGGCGCACGGCACCGACCCCCCCCCCCCCCCGGGGGCGCCGCGCGGGCCCGGCCTCGGGTCGGGCCTGGCCCCCTGCAGTCGGTGGGGAAAAACAACACAAAAAAAACACGGTGGGCAAACAAAAACACTGTGGGGAAACACTGTGGGAAAAAAACACACTGTGGGAAAACAAGACACTGTGTTTTTGTTTCCCACAGTGTGTGTGTGTGTGTGTGTTGTGTGTGTGTGTTGTGTGTGTGCTGTGTTGTGTGTTGTGTGTTGTGTGTTGTGTGTGTTGTGTGTGTGTTGTGTGTGTGTTGTGTGTGTTGTGTCTGTTGTGTGTGTGTTGTGTTGTGTGTTGTGTGTTGTGTGTTGTGTGTGTTGTGTGTGTTGTGTGTGTTGTGTGTTGTGTGTGTTGTGTGTGTTGTGTCTGTTGTGTGTGTTGTGTGTGTGTGTGTGTGTGTGTGTGTGTTGTGTGTGTGTGTGTTGTGTGTGTGTGTGTTGTGTGTGTTGTGTGTGTTGTGTGTGTTGTGTGTGTTGTGTGTGTTGTGTGTGTTGTGTGTGTTGTGTGTGTTGTGTGTGTGTTGTGTGTGTGTGTTGTGTGTTCCCCACAGGGGGCTTATTGGAGGAAACATCAAAGATACCCGAAAGATGCACCCAAACAGAGCACAGAGCATTCGAAAGATCCTCCCCAGACTATGGTTTCGCTACCTTCGAATATTCCCCCTGGAGAGGGACAGGCCCGACTGAAGCCTGGCCAAGACCATCGAGGCGGTCACACGAAGGCGGCGAGCGGAGGGGGGGAAGAGAGAAGGGCCGGGCCTTCTCAGAAGGCTCGGAAGGCCCCGGGCCTTCCGAGAAATGTCCTGAGCCTTCCCCGAAGGCACGAAAAACTCCTCAAAGGCGCGAGGGCTTCTGAGAAGCCCCGCCGCCTTCTGACAAGGCCTTCTCCTTCTCACTCCCCCCCTCGCTCGCCACCGAGCCCAGATCTCCGGCGCCGTGTCGTGTTTTCTCTTTCCACCGCTCAAGAAAAAGAGGGCCCTGCCAGTCGGAGCGTTCTTCGCTTCAGTGGGGAAGCCAGCGCTGGCAACAACGCACCTCGAGTGGGGAAGCCAGTATCAAAAAGGACCCCAGGAGGCCTGGACCGCTCCCCCGGGACCGGCGTTCCATCCTGAGCCGTCTCTTGGCGCGGCCCCTGGACCTGAGATCCCACGTCAAGCAAAAAGTCAGCATCGCAGGAAATACTCAAGCAGACCCATCGTTCTGGAAAATTCTTCGGGTCCAATCGACCCGTGAGGGTCCCAGGGCCCGAGACAGGACATAAAAATCGACCCCCTCCCCATCAAATAACAAGAATGCTACGCCAGGAACTCAGGGGAGCCCCCGCCGCAAGGCCGAGAAGGGCCGGAAGACTCCCGCCGTGATGATGCGTTGCTCTCGCATGGGTCCTGCCTGCCACTGCCTGAGTTTCCTTTTCTTCGGTGGAGGTCGGGTCGCCGCGCGCGCCGAGACGCCTCACGCCGCCGCCCTGGACTTGGCCTCGTGGTCGAGGTGCATGCGGTCCTCGCGGCGCGCGCGCGGATATTCCAGGGCGCGGGGGGGTGGAGGAGGAGGAGGAGGAGGAGGAGGAGGAGGAGAGGAGGAGGAGGAGGAGGAGGAGGAGGAGGAGGGGGGGGAGGAGGAGGGGGAGGGGGAGGGGGAGGAGGAGGAGGAGGAGGAGGGGAGGAGGAGGAGGGGGAGGAGGAGGAGGAGGGGAGGGGGAGGAGGAGGGGGAGGAGGGAGGAGGAGGAGGAGGAGGAGGAGGAGGAGGAGGAGGAGGGGAGGAGGGGAGGAGGAGGGGGAGGGGGAGGGGGAGGAGGAGGAGGGAGGAGGAGGAGGAGAGGAGGAGGAGGAGGAGGAGGATGAGGAGGAGGAGGAGGAGGAGAGGAGGAGGAGGAGGGTCCCTTCGCCCGCGGCTGCGTTGGAGCTTCGGCCCTCGTGCGGGGAAACCCCGTGCGGCGGGCGCGCGGCCTCCGGGGGCCCTCGCCGGGCCCCTGGAGGCCGTCCACGGAGGCGCCTCGGGGTGCGAGGCTGGCCCCGGGGAAGGGGTCTCCTCCTCGCCCTCCTCCTCCTCCTCCTCCTCCTCCTCCTCCCCTCTCCTCCTCCTCCTCCTCCTCCTCCCCTCCTCCTCCTCCTCCTCCTCCTCCTCCTCCCCTCCCCCCCTCCTCCTCCTCCTCCTCCTCCTCCTCCTCCTCCTCCTCCACCCCGGGAGAAGGGTCGGGTCTTCCGTTCAGGGGGACGTAAGACCTGGGTACAGGGGACTCGGAAATCCCCGACGAGGTCGTCAGAAAAGTGACGAGGCCGAGCCTGCATTTTGACGAGGCCTCCCGCTGCAGACATCCCACGAAACTCCTACTCGTCAAAATCCGAATCGCGGTCGTCAAAAAACGATGGCGAGCCCGAGTCCCGACAAACCCGGGTCTTACGCTCCCCCGATCCGTGGACCGCGCACGGAGAAAAATCAAGGCATCGGCACTGCGCGCGGTGGTGTGCGCGCGGTGCTGGGGTTTCGTCAGGTGGACAGCTTTCATGGTTAAGAGGAGGGAGTAGTGAGGGGGATGACAGCCTCCATACGCTCTGGATGGGAGCCCAAAAATGGCCCAAGATGGCCTCAAGACGGCCCGAGAGGCCCTTGAGAAGGCTCCAACAGGACGCCCGAGAGGCATTCGAAAGCAAAACACATTGTTATTACGAAGGGTGTTGAAAGATGTCAGCAGACTGGTTATTTCTAGCTTCTGACGGCCCAAGACGACCAAAAGGTCCCAAAGAGGGGCCGAAGACAACCCAACAAGGTTCCCAAATGGCCCCACGACGGCCCAGGGGGGCTCCAAGAAGGCCAAAGAGGCCCTCAAGACTGCTCAAGAAGACCAACAAGCAGCCCACGAGACCCCCAAGAAAGCCCCAAGACGGGCCCAAGAGGGGGAAATCGAGCTGGCCTTGACAATCGTTTCCTGCAGGATTGCCTCCAAGACACTCGTCACGCCTCTAAAAGGCTCCATAATGTCCCCTATGACGCCCCCGAGAGTCCCCCTTCGGATATCCCAAAACCTCCCTGACGGACCTGAACACAAAGCCCCCGAGAGGCTCTCAAGAGGCCCCATAGAAGCTCCATCCCACGTCTACAACCAGCATCCATCACGCTGCGCTGCTGCGCTGGCGTGTGTGTGTGTGTGTGTGTGAGTATGTGTGTATGGGTGTGTGGTGTGTATATGTATGTGTATATGTCTGTGTGTGCGTGCGTGCGTGCGTGCGAGCGTTCGTGCGTGCGTGCGTGCGTGCGTGTGTGCGTGTGCGTGTGCGTGTGCGTGCGTGCGTGCGCGTGCGCGTGCGCGTGCGCGTGTGCGTGTGCGTGTGCGTGTGCGTGTGCGTGTGCGTGTGCATGTGCGTGTGCGTGTGCGTGTGCGTGTGAGTGTGCGTATATTGGGAAGGGCCCCCATTGTCGTCCCAAGTGTGGCCAGCTGTGGGGCTGCGCTGCATCAAGTGAGCCCCCCCGCCTGTCTTACTGGGATCGTGTTCCCAAGACGTGTTCTCATTGTTTTGAAGTGTAGGTTCGCTTTTTGTTCGTAAGTGTACGATGGAATTGTTGTTGTTTTGTACGGTGGTCTTTATGTTTATGTGTGGTATGTGTGATGTCTTCTTATTGCGTTCATGCGTAAAGTGTTCTTAGTGTTCATGCTTGTAAGGTTTATTATGGCTTGTGATTGCAATGTTTTCCATATTATGTGTGACATTGTTCGTATTGTGCCATTGCGTGACGTTGTTCTTATTGTGACATTGATGCTTGTATTAGAGCTTGTGCTAGTGACATTGTTCTTGTCGCTTTCCATTGCGAACGCCCTTGCCACAGCACTGCATCAAGACCTACATCAACACATGAAACAGCTTGCTCGCTCGAAGCCCTCGGGCCCGCCCGCCGAGCGGGGGGGGGGCTACCATGCATTTACATATAGATGTGTATGTGTATATATATGTATATATATATATATATACATATATATGTGTATGTGCACGTGTGCACAAGTATGGACATAAACAGAGAGAACGAGAGAGAGAAAGAGTGAACAACAAACAAACATAGGGATGAAAAGAGAGAGAGGGATGTAGAAAGAGGATGAACAAATAGAAAAAATATAAATAAGGATAACACGAGAGAGAGAGGGAGAAGGAGGCGCGAAGGGATCACGGCAGGGACCGAGGCGGAGGCTACTCGTGCGGGTGGCGCGGAGCGCACGCGGCACACCGGGGCCCGCGGGCCGCACGGGCGGGGCGGGGCGCGGGCAGCGAGGCGCGTCCAGGTCGTCGAACTCCACCTCCGCCGCCGGGGAGGGACAACTCGGAGGGCCGAGGTCGAGGAGGATGATGATGATGATGATGATGATGATGATGATGATGATGATGATGATGATGATGAGGATGAGGATGAGGATGATGATGACGATGATGATGATGATGATGATGATGAGGATGAGGATGAGGATGAGGATGAGGATGAGGATGATGATGATGACACGCCCGTTGGAAGCGGAGAATCCCCGGTATCACAAGCTCTCAGGGGCAAGCCTCTCCAAGTCTGCCTCTGCAGCCGAGACTGGTCGAGGAGGAGGAGGGTGAGGGGGAGGGGGAGGGGGAAGGGCCTCTCGGGCCGCGAACGGAAGAGATCCGATCGTCGAACTCCACCTCCGCCGCCTGGGAGGGACAAGAGGGGACGAAACAGGGACGCGTGAGTATCGTTTAACCGATCCCCATCCCCAGCGGCGTGGCCTGGGCCCCACTGGCCGACTTACACCCCTGGAAGGGGATTTAGGCCGTTCCCTTCGGGTGTCGAGGGGCGTATCCCCAACTGGGGGGGTAATTTGGAGGGGGTCTCGAAGGGGATGGGGATGGGGATGGGGGTCGGTTGAACGATACTGAGGGCAAGAGGGGACGAAAGAGGGACGATGCCGATCTGTGGAGCAACTTGCAAGGGCCCGTCTAGGGCCACAGCGCTGCCAGGGCCGCTCTTGCGTGCAGCTGACTGCGATCGGCCCTGGCGCCGTTTTGTCTCGCCATGTCTCGGGGAGCTAGCCCCGTGCATACATGCGGTCTTGCGCGCAGGTCGATCCGTGAGGCCCCCCCCGCCCCGGGGCCGAAGACTGCATGCGCAAGCGTCGTGTCGATCTCGGTCAGCGCCGATCATGGCCAGCGTCAATTCGTGGAACATCCGCGCGGATCGGTGACGGCGGACATGGACCATGGCCAAGATATCCCGCGATATCGTTGACATGGCCCCCGTGCTTCTTCCCTCGAACGACGTGGAGCAATTCTTCAGAAGCCATACGTAGGTAGACCCCACCTTCCTCTGCGGCATTTATCGAGCCTTCCTCTCGAAACGAAGCTGATGTGAAACCATTGCGGCGTCAGGGCCTCAGGAGAGATCCGCCTCTGCTGCCAGGGCTTCCAACAAAAAAAACACGGCGGAGCCGGCCCAAAGTGCACCCGTGTTGCCAGAGGTGCGCCCAGGGCGCCTCCAGAAGGTTCCCAAGGGAGCCCCCCCACGGCCTCCACAATGGGCGATCGACGACGACGACGAAGGGGCCCCCTGAGATCCGACGTAGCGAAAACAGGTTGAAAATGAGAATAATATGGAACAGAAAAACCACCCTCAGAACAAACACCCCGACAAGCGAAGCCGCTGAGCAAACGTACCCGAGGAAGGCATTGAACACGGCAGGCCTGTTCAGCAGACGCCCAGGGCCATCCGGCGAACGCCACTCAGGGGGGCTTCGGGGTGGCTGACAGCCAGCCCGCACCGCAAGGGCGCACGATCAGGATGCAAGGGCGTTGGAAAGCCACGTCGACACTCTGCGAGCGGGGCGCGGCCAGCGCAAGCGGCCAAGGAAGGTCGCGTCGCACGAAAGGGGGAGACACAGAGGGAGGGCCCCAGCGCCAGCGCCCCCCGGCGCGGGAGGCGGCGGGGCCGAAACCAGCTGCAAACAGTAGACTTCGTGACCTCGGGGGCCTTGAAACAGGGGTCCATGCAAACGGGGGTCAGCCAGGGCACCACATCCTGCAAGATCCTGCGACAACCCCCTTTGGCTGACCCGGGTTGGCGGGCCGCTCGTTGCCGCGAGGCCGCCGCGCATATTGGCTGACCTGGGTTTGCGAAGACATGCGTTGCGATTGTTTCCTGCATCAGTTGCTTGAGTTCCTGCTGACCTGGTCAAAAGATCAGGCCCCCTTTTCCCTACAGCCGGACCGTACCATAAGGATGCGCGACGAGGACGCAGGGGCCTTGGACGCCCACTTCGAAGCTTCTCGAACGGACCGCGGCCGACGAAGGTGGCCAAGGATGGACCGAGGGGGCATGGATGCAAAGGCACCCTTGGGCAGGATGTCCATCCTTCCTATGCGGGTTCACTGTATCCCCCCCTTCGTTCGGCCCGAGATGAGTCTCCCTGGAACGAGGACGACGGCGAGGAGCACCACCGCCGCGGCGACAGCTCCCGCGGCCGGCGGCCGGCGGCCTGGCGGGGACGAGCTGCAGG